GGGGCAATCGTTAAGTGAGGCACCACTGTAAATAGCAGTGGCCCTAACCACACTGCTGATTGGCAGTCATCCCTATACAAGAAGGTCAATATAAGGCTTCCTGTTTGGGCTAAGAGTTTGGATGCCCTGCAGTGATTTTTGTTTGGCTCTGGTCTCCAACACAGCCCTTGGATCTCCTCTAATAGCTGACTACATGTTCCTGACACAATGACAGCAACAGAGGCAACAGAGATCAATGCTATAGAGCTTGGTCTACCAGGTGCAAATTCCATGATGTCGGGTTTTCCTGTTGTACTCCTATTTGATCAAACCCTCCACTATTCTCATCCCTGTCTCTTGTCCTGTAGTGCAGTGGTTCCCAGCTTTGGGTAACCAGCTGCATTTGCACAGCAATTCCCAGAAGCCTTCACCACCAGCTGTGCTTCTGGGAGTTGCAGTCCAGGAACACCTGGGTTATCCAAGGTTGAGAACTACCGGCTAGAGCTTTCAGCTCCACCTCTTCACTCGTTCCCTGTACAGAACGCTTTGGATTCTTGCCAAAGCAAACTCTTAAGTTATCATTAACAAAAGTCAGAATCTGACGGGGCAGTGTTTGCCCTCAATTGACTCAACATGAGCTCCAGCTTCTGGATTTTGCCACTGTGTGTGTCCTTATGTGTGCTTCTGCATTTATATTCTTAATCTCGGGGGCTGGATATTACCTTTCGGACACGTTGCTATGGCATGGAGTGGCAATTTTAAGAGAAAGATGTGTTTAAGGGGCAGGAGTAGGCAACTGGGGGCTGTCCAGATGTTGCTAGACTGCAACTCCCGTCATTCCTCACCATTAGCTCTAGTGACTAAAGCTGGTGGGAGCTGTAGTCCAATGGTAACTAGAGTCCTATAAACTTTCCAGTCCTGTACTAAGGAAAAGGAGTTACTTTCAATGGATGGAAAATGAATACAGTGGTGCCTCACTTAACGATTGCCCCGCATTACAACGAATCTGCTTTACGATGATCTTTTTGGAATCGCAATTGCGATTGCAAAACAATGGTCTAAATGGGGGTATTTCGCTTACCAATGATCGGTTCCCTGCTTTGGGAACTGATTTTCGCTTTACAACGATCAAAAACAGCTGATAGTCGGGTTTTCATAATGGCCACCGGGTGCTTAAAATGGCTCCCCGCTGTGCTTAGGGACGGATTCCTCGCTATACAGGCAGCGAAAATGGCCGCCGTATGGAGGATCTTCACTGGACGGTGAGTTTTTACCCCATTGGAACGCATTGAATGGGTTTCAGTGGGGTTTTTAATTTCGCTTTACGATGTTTTTGCTTAACAGCGTTTTTCCTGGAACGGATTATCGTCATTAAGCGAGGCATCACTGTATTTTCCTTACTATAAAACTTCCATATTTGGCATCTTCAATTAAAAAAATTAAAGGAACAGACCAACCTGCACCTAGAGGATCTATTGCTGCTCAGAGTTCCCAGTCCTGAGCTAGTTAGATCATTGGTTTGAATAGAAGCCTTATGCAGGCGTTCTCTCGACTGGCTTAAAGCAACATGGAAGTGGTACAGGGCCACCAGCTTCCAGGTGTGATAACCTCCCTTCTCATCAAGGATGGGCAGGAGAAAACTCATGTTGAGTTCTTCCAGGAGGTTTCCCTTTTCCATTTCAGGTTCTTTTGGGGACCTTTCTGTAAACCCGAAGATACCTGGACCTTTCAGATTTTTTCAATTACACTTTTCCCCATTCTGCTTCCTGACACTAGACCCAATTAAGCCATCAGAGCTCTCAAAACCAGTTTAAATAAATAAATAAATAAATAACAGCAGGGGCAAGGCAATGGACAATCCAAATCATGTGGCAACTACAGTGCGTGAGAAAGAAATACCAATCATCCACATACCTATGCAGACACGAACAGTACTTTCAAGTCCATATTTATCATCACATCCCCATCACCATCCTCATCACCCATCTTAATACATCAGGAGGAAACAGATGTTAAGAAAGAGAAATCACCATCATGAAAATAATGTAAGTTAAAATACATACACATTTACACACACACACATACACACACACACACAAACACACACACACACACACACACAAAAACACGCATTAACTCTCCCACACCCCAGGGTATGCAGGATTGAGGAGATATTGTCTTGATAGCTTCAGTCCAGCAATTCAGGCTGTGGTCTGTCAGGTAAAGCGCAGGTTGGTAGAAAGAAAAAGGGGACAAGTCCTCCAAAAATCATTAAAATGAAAGCAAAAGACCAGAATGATCGAAAAGACAAAACACATAAGAAATAAATGCAATTAATCTCTCTTTCAGATTCCCAAATCTTTGTAATTTGGAGGCTGGTAAAACCATGAAAGGCTCAGAAAACTACAGAAAGGGCCTCTTTCACGGTGTTTACTCTTTGGGCAAACGTGAAATTCCTACCCATAGTTTTAATTGCTTTTGCTAAATAAGAGGTAGCCGGCTATGACTTTCTTTAGGTGATTCTCAGTCCGTCCACCACTGTGTGTTTCCTCACCCTCTGAGTTTAAGGAGCGATCCTGGGTGTAGCCTGAGATTGGCAACGCTGCCCTTCCTGCTAAGCAGAGTAAGCCTTCTAGTGGGAGAGTTCAACAGCTAGCAAATCGCTCCTTCATACTATACTGGATACCCAGTATGGTTTAGTGGGCAGAGGAATGGACCAGGATTTCCGAGACCTGGGTTCCGATCCCCACTCCACCATGGAAACTCACTGGGGGAGCAGAACTGGAGAAACCACACTTTAAACATTCCACTTGCCTTGAGAGCCCTATTAAGGTCGCTCTATGTCAGCTCCAACTTGATGGCACAGAATAACCACAACGCAACCATACACTGGAAGCTCCCTCCCAATTGTTCCAGTGAACCTTGTTTTCCAACATGCCCCCCCAAATGGCTAACTTTGAGGAATTCTGTCTCTCCTTTCCAACTCCTACCCTTGATTTTTATGAGTCCAAATGTTTGACTTCCTCCCTTTCTTACCCTAACCCTAACCCCATCCTCTCAGACAACAAAATATCTCTTGCTTATGGCCAGGGCTTCTGATTTCTGTGTTGAAAAGGACAGGAATGGCCTCCTAGGCATAGATCCCCTTCTGGAAACCGACTGGGACCCGCAACCTTTTGCTGCCTGCGCAGCCTACCGCCGATCTCAACCTCTGCACACTAGGTGGCGCGATCTGCTTTCCCATCATCATTAGTTATGTGCATAACTGAACTTTTGATCAGTGGTGTTCTTTCTTTCATCAACTCAGAGTAAAGGAGCATGCATGGGCCCCCAATCATTTCCCAGAAGAAATAGGCAGACTTTGGAAGGCTGTAGTGTTTTGTTCTGAGACATGATTTTTAGGGAATACAAATCCAGGTTTACACTGAGAATATAACAGATTCAGGACTTCATGTTATTGTCCCTTCCTAGCCTGATGTCATAAGATGACTTCCCTTTTTAGCTTCCATAATGTTGTGCCACTAGTTTAGAGCAAATCTTTAATCTGATGGTGAGATTTACCATTCCCTTCTTCTGGGGGTGCCCTGGGTCCATGCAGTTTGCCTAAGGCCACCCTGGCTGGCTCTTCTCCCTTGAGGGACGATGGGGAATCGAA